TGATCGAATTTTTTGTAATCCATGATCGAATTTTTTGTAATCCATGATCGAACTTTTTGTAATCCATGATTGAATTTTTTGAAAATTTGTGATTTTTTTTTAATCCATGATCGAAATTTTTTTGTAATCCATGATAGAATTTTTGAAAATTTGTGATTTTTTTTTTAATCCATGATCGATTTTTTTGAAAATTTGTTAATTTTTTTTTTAATCCATATTATTCAAAGAGAAAATGAGAGAGATGATGATTCTGAGGCCACCCTATCCCCATATTATTCACATATCGAGTCCCAACAGCAACAGTGTAAGGATGAGCACGACAGTGCAGGTGAGCATGAAGGATAGACAAGTTTCGGGGATTTTGGATTGGGAACACAATAAAACACTAACACTCGGGGATTTGGGAATAGTCAGACGCCTACTAATATCGATGATTCGTTTTTAGATCGAATCAATTAATTGTTAAACGAATTCAATCAATGGCACCAGCGTGACCAAGAAGAACAATAACGTCATCTATCATTTTATTTTTAGATCATATGTTATTAATTTTATGCTTTATTGTAGTCCATGTATGTTGATATACTTATTCCATGATAATTCTATGTTTATCCTTTTGTGTGATGTAAATTAAATGCTGAATGGCGGTTCATGTAGGGAAATTACATATCAATATTCGCATATTCATTAAAAAACATGAAAATTCTTAATGGAGTACTCTCGTTTTTTATTGAATTCCTAAAAAAAAATATTTATAATGAATTTTAATAATTTTTTTGAATTTTTTTTAAGCTTTATTCTGACCAATTCACCCGATTTCTGATCCGAATCGCATATTTTTTGATCCGGATCTGTTTTTTGGTTACCCGATCCGGGTCACCAATCCGCTTTTAAATCATTGGATGCATCGTTTGCTTTTTCAAAACCACAAGTCTCACTCTCCATTGACGAGGGTGTTTCGGTCATTTTGCACTTTCAGACAATCCTATATTTAATTATATCATGTACCTCTACTGTACTCCCTAGGGTGCGTTGTGTACTTCTACTCTCTCCTTCAAGAGGTGTTTTTCTAGCAATTTGTTTTTCTTTTTTTTTTGTAGAAATTACTTAGGATCGCTAGATAATTATTCTCAAAAAATATTAAAATTAGAGATTTTAAATATTTAGATCTCCTCACCAAAAAATTGGATGGTTAATATTTAATCTCGTGATCTTATTTTTTTTTGAAAGTATAATTCGGAAATTTTTTTTTTATAAGGTTAATCTATGTGTTGAATAGGTTACATCCCCCAAAAAAAAAGAGGTCTGAATATTCATCCTAAACGGGGTTTTATCCGAGGAAATAAATGGACATTTTTCTCCCGCGGGAGTAGAAGATCGTTTGGCCATCTCGGTATTGTCTGTTTTTTTATTTATTTATGGACTCCACTTCTCGCACTTTCTGTCCCAGCGCTCTTCTCTCTTATTTATTATTAATATTAATCAAATCTGCTTCTCGCTCTGCAACTCTCCACTGCCACTTGCCAGAGACCACTATCTCGTTCTCGCTGCAATGCCCGGGAAATCGAAACTCCGGCCTACGGCCGTTTCGCCTCCACATCATTGAGCAAAAATTTTGAGAGAGAGAGAGATTTTGTAGAGAGAGAAAGGCGATGTCTTTCTACGACGCGCCATTCCTCAACAACCAGCTCTCCAAACCCACCTCCATCTTTGGCCTCCGCTTATGGGTAGTCATCGGAATCTCAGTTGGGGCGGCCATTGTCATTGTTCTCTTCCTCCTCTCTCTCTGCATAGCTTTTCGTCGGAAATCGGCGGCCACCACTCGCCGGAAAACCCCTTTCTCTCACAACCTCCATAACCAATTCTCGACCACGCCTGTAGTATCTAGAGAGATTCAGGAAATCAACAACAATAACCCATCGTCTGACCTCGAGAAATCGGTAATCCATGTCTCTGAACATGCTTCCCCTGCTGTTTTCTCAGAACCCAGAAAGGATATACAAATTGATATCGGTAAAGACCATCGAATTATTTTTTCGGATAGGCAGGTGAGTTGTGAGAGTCGTTCTACTGTTGATTCGGCTCCTCCTGCTGTTCCTGAGGTCTCCCATTTGGGGTGGGGTCATTGGTACACTCTCAGAGAGCTTGAAATTGCCACGAATGGCCTCTCTGATGAGAATGTGATTGGTGAGGGGGGCTATGGTATAGTTTATCGCGGGGTACTTCTCGATAATACCATCGTTGCCATCAAGAACTTGCTGAATAACAGGTATTCATCTTGTTTATTTTATAAATTCTGGTCTTTTTTCTTGCATTCCATGATTTAAGGGATATTGGGATTTTATCAAATTGATGATGGTTTGGTGGTTTGTTGATTGTTGGGGGGTGTTATTAGCTTGAATTACTCATCTTTTGAGTTAATTGACAATTTTGGTAGTGATGAATTGGCGGAATTGAACTGTAGGGGTCAAGCTGAGAGAGAATTTAAAGTGGAGGTTGAAGCAATTGGGCGTGTTAGACACAAGAACTTGGTCAGATTGCTTGGATACTGTGTTGAGGGAGCTTACAGGTTTTCTCATTTGTCTATCTCATTGCTTTTCACTTCTCTCTCTACTCCAATACTTGGGTTCCTCTCTATTTCATCTATTGATACACTTTGCAGTATCGTTGTGGCCGTTTTCTTTTCCCTTTTTTTTTTGTTAACTTCTGCCCTAATTGACTTCATCTATCAGCTTTCGTATACATTTTGCTTTCCCTTGATCTTGTCTTGTTTCTCTCTTGTCTTGGTGATTAGGATGCTTGTTTATGAGTATGTAGACAACGGTAATCTGGATCAATGGCTTCATGGGGATGTAGGCCAACACAGCCTCCTAACATGGGACATCAGGATGAACATCATCCTTGGAACTGCAAAGGGGTATGTCCATTTTTGCTGAAATTGGGTACAAGCCACCACAATCCATAAATAACGAGTGAATTTCTATAAATTTTTGGTAGAATTTCTTCTTTGTATATTTCTTATATCTGATACTTCATATATGTGCAGTTTAGCTTATCTCCATGAAGGGCTTGAGCCTAAGGTAGTTCATCGAGATGTGAAGTCCAGTAACATATTGCTTGACCGGCAGTGGAGTCCCAAGGTCTCAGATTTTGGGCTCGCGAAGCTCTTGGGTTCAGAGAGGAGCTATGTAACAACTCGTGTTATGGGCACATTTGGGTTAGTATTTCATCGTAACATTTTGTTCCTTCCTAAAATTTTATTTTCAATCTTTCTAAGGATTCTCAAGTGCTGTAAATGACTATAGCCTATGTTCTTGATAGCTATGTGGCTCCTGAATATGCTAGCACTGGTATGTTGAATGAGAGAAGCGATGTTTATAGCTTTGGTGTGCTTATCATGGAGATAATTACAGGGAGGAGCCCAGTTGATTACAGTCGACCCCCTGGAGAGGTGAATTTGATTCATGCACAAAGTAAAGGAATTTGTGTTATTTATGAGATTTATTTGGGAAAGTAACTCTATGAACTGATTTTATCAGGTGAATTTGGTTGAGTGGTTGAAAACTATGGTAGGAAGTAGGAATGCTGAGCTAGTAGTGGATCCAAAAATGTCTGAAAAGCCCTCTTCTCGAGCTTTAAAACGAGCTCTTTTGGTTGCTCTTCGATGTGTGGATCCGGATGCTCTGAAGAGGCCTAAGATGGGCCATGTCATCCACATGCTCGAAGTTGATGAGTTTCCATTCCGTGAGAATGTATTGCTCTTCAATTGCATGTGTCATTAAGTTCTTGTTTTGTCATGTTAAGGGATGAAAGAAGAATGAATAAAGCAAAATTTAGAGTTTTCTAGATGGGGATTTCTTCTGATGCTTGGTTTTTTTCTGGTTTTCTTGTTTGCAGGGTCGAAGGAATGGAAGAGAAGTGCCTCGTTCACATGGCGTTGATGATTCTCATCATGTGAACCGTGGGGTGATGGAGACAGAAGTTACAAGAGAAGGGGAAAGCAGCGGGGAAGGCAATAAGACGAGGTGGACATGACTTCGAGGATATGATGAAAAGGTGAATTCCTCAGTCTTGAAATTTGGAATAGCCAATTTTGAGCCCCTTCACAGAGAGCTTTTCTTTAGCTTTTACTGTGCATCTCTCTGTAGTTTTCACTGGGAAAACAGGGTTATAGTAACTCTCTGTTCTTTGCATTGGGGCTCCATGTTTGGAATCTGTCTCATGTTGGTGGGAAATTTTATCATTTGGTGAGATTATTTATAATTTTTGTGGTAATTATCAGTGGTGAAAATTACCGTTCCTCAAATGCAAAACATAGCCTTTGCCTTTTAAAATTACATTTGCATCTTGGATGTTCTGTCAATGTTTTCTGATTGCTACTTGTATTTGGATATTCCTAGATGTTAATACTGCTCATTTCTGTGGCCACGTGACTCTTCCTGCTTTATCAGCCATTTAACTATTAGAGCTGTTCAAGCTTTGATTAAGGAGGTCCCCACTGAGATTATTTGTAATTGGATTCTACTCCAACTTTAGACCTCTCACTTTCTTTCTTCATCAGCCCCATGATAACCTTCGGTCTCAGTATGTTCTCCATTTTGAGTTTATGACCTTCTCATCTGAGGATTTAAACATGAATGAATTTCCCATGTTCAAAATGTTTCAGTTTTGATCCTGTTACCCTTGAAATTGTCGTCTCATGCTTTAAACAAGGGAATGAATTTTCAAATTATGAAGTTGATTCTGATCGCAGTCCTTAAATGCGGCAAACCTGTTGATTAGTAAATTGCATTGGGTCCTGTTCTGGGTTTTCTAGCCTTTCTAGCTATATTTCAACAGATCATATGATCTGTGAAAACGGAGTAGCATGGGTTATGTCAAAACTGAAACACATTATGTGGGGAATTGAACCTCAGACCTTCGCTTAATGGGCGAGTCTGATCGACTCCCGTACTGGTGGGATCATCCTGGAAAAATGAACCAATTCACTCATTCGCATAGAATTTTACATTTTAGTACTAAGACTCGTGTTGTTGTATCAACCTTCTTTACTCTCAGGCGCTACATGCTAAAAACTAACCAGTCTCAGTCCTTGACTTATTTGATTGGGAAATTATGGTTGAGTCCCTTGTGCTTTCCTTCTCCTATACACACACACATGGGTCTCTGGCAAAATGTGTTTCTATTTGTTTTCAAAAGGTTATACCTGCCTCATTGCGGTAGAAAAAAGTCATATCCAGTTCTAACTAATTCTATCTGAAATCTCTAGTTAACACTGGTCGGAAACCCCACTTTGAGACAATTTTCGGCCATGGTAATCTGACTTAGAAACTTGTTTTCATTCTCCATTATATATCTATATTCATTGATTACATTGCCTGTATCAACCTGCACATGTGGAAAGCCTCCAAACAGGGAGGTTACATGACCCCCTCCCCCCATCTCTCTTGTATCTCTCAACTATGGTCTCTGTAACTATCCTTTGATGTTTACAATACTTGGAGCAAATTTTAGAGAGAGAGAGAGAGAGAGAGCATAGCATGTGGAACCTGACATCCTTTGGAATTGGCCAGGCTGGAAGGAGAGGATGGGAGAAGGGGAATAGCTTTGGTTGCTTGTTGATGAATGGGTTTGGATTGGACAAAGGGGAAACAGCTGGAGATCAAAGAAAAAAGAGAAAAAAGGGTGGAGTGGGGTCCCCACAAAGGACCCCAATAAATTTGAGCTTTTGGCTGCACCTGCACCCAAACTTGGGTGGGCCTGTTGGCCTGCCACTGTGCTTTACACTCACCATAAAATTCTCATGACTGGTACGGATCATATGTAATATGTATCTATTTTTGTATATTGGTTAAAGGGGAGTGATTTCATGTCCAAAAGAAAGCTAGATATTTGGGGTGATTGAGAGGGGTCTATAACCAACCACCCAACTTCCTATTTTGTCTATTAATTCTTTCTTCTTTTGTTCTTTTGTCTAGGTATTGCATATTGCAAGACCCATTCGAATTCGATACAATGTCACAATTACCTTTAGCCATTAAATGTGAGATCCAGTAGTTTGTGGTGTATTACAAAGTTCGAAAAAGTGTTTTTCGACTTTGAATCTGGTCATTTTATTGTAGCATCATTCTAATTTCATATTTAAACGATAGCAATCGGTACCATTGTCATTTTGGCTGAAGGGGTACTTTTTAAGATTTTAACTCCCAGGCTGCAAAACCATCGGCTTCACTAAATAAAACATGCGTTTTAAATTGATAATTCGATGTCATATAAACGGCTTGCAATGGGCCAAGCAGCCTGGCCTGGCCTGGGCTGGTCCCCTCAGGGGTTGGGCCACAAAATGTTGCTCGAATGTTGGGCTTGGATCGGTCTTGACCATGTGTTTTTATTTTTTGAGTCTATTAGGCACTTAGTGGGCTATGGTAGGGCTTGGCCCAGGACTCCTTAGGTCTGGTCTTGGCCAGGCTGGCCTTATAGGGACTCGGGCCAGGCTTAGGCTAGGGCAGGCCTTGCCCTTGCTAGCCCTAATTGTAACACCAATATCTTGGCTTTTCTAGTTTAGAAATTTCCCATAATTGGTTTGTTGTGGCCCAAAGGCAGGGCTAGGGCCTATGCCTGCCCGTCTGCCTTGGCCTGGTCTGTCATGGCCTTGTTTTTTTTGATTTATTTTTGGCCCATCATGGTGCTGGCCATGTAGGGACGGGTTAGGCTTGGGCCAGCCTTATAGGGATAAGGATCGAGCTTGGGGAAGGGCTGCCCCGGCCTGTTGCCACCCTTACTCAAAACACCATTTCTTATAGACATGTTGATAAAAGCTTTTGGGAAAATTTTCAAAACACATCTTGACTAATTTGCATTTTACCTAGCGTATGATTTGATAAACTTTGGAACCCATTGATGTGTGAATTGTTGAACTATTTGAATTTTGATCAAAATAATGATGGGCTATTAAAATTAAATAAGAATTATGGACAAGATGTCGACTATTGCGTAGCAGTTTGATAAATTTCCCTTCGAATATTAATATTTCCGCATACCAAAATGAAGAGGTGGTGTTAATCGTTTCTTCCTATTGAAAAGTGCGAATAAAGCCGTTATTCTAATGAAAAAATTTAGGGGATTGTATACCATGAAAGTATATTTTTGTTGTAAGGAGTAATTGCTACTGGCCATTAGATGTCAAATTAGATGGTTAGAGGGGTGCTATAAAGTTCGAAACAATTTTTTTTTTTCTTTAAATTTTAAACCTAGTCATTGAGACACTCACAACGACCTGATTTGAAATCTGGTGGAAAAAAATAATTGTGGCATTCTTATATTAAAAATAAGTGCTCTTTTTTTGTACTTTTCCAATAATTAATACGAGGCGTCAACCTTATATTATAGAAGTAACATGCACCTCAAAAATCCATCTTTAAAGATTGGTCTAACATTATAAAAACGTGCAAGTAATTATATGGACTTCGAGATGCACGGATATGAAAAGAAAAATATTTCAAATTCTAAAATTAGTGCATCTTGTAACCCATTATCGAAGCTGTCTATTTTTTTAAAAATTAAGTGTTTATAGATCCGCTCTATCTTCACCATTTTTAGAGCTTTAAATTGTATTTAATTAGGGCTAAAAATAGACATTTACACTATCGTAAAGGTTTTTGATACCAAAATTGTATCTTTTAGTAAGATTTAGGGTGCTTCACCTTCTTTAGATTGTTGAAGGTTGACACCGTATACAAACCACACCGTAATCTAATATTACGATTCCCGTGTACCAACGGCTCAGGTTATAATTTAAAGCACACTTTTGATGGAACCCAAGCCTAGCACTTACCAAGTGTGGCTTGATGAGAGCCAGCATGTTTGATTCTCAGGCAGCAGAACGAAATTATTAGAATGAAATTACAATTTTGTGGAGATCAAGCTCACTCCATAAGTTCATGAATCGGGCTTGGGCTTGGGCTTGGGCTTGGGCTTGGGCTTGGGCTTGGGCTTGGGCTTGGGCTTGGGCTTGGGCTTGGCCTTGATTGATTAGTAGTTAAAGTCAAGTAGTACAATATCTCCATTCCAACCATTGAAGCACCTGAAAAAACAAATCACTTTGTGCTTAATTTTGAACTACAATTGGTAACCAATTACACTTTGGGGCCCATGTAGTCTAACGACTTAAGGGTAGTTTTTTACACTGATGCTCCTCTCCGTATCAAACTCACAGCGATCAAACCACTGGGGCACCATCATCTTTTTTATTTTATTTTTTTTAAATGACCTATACAAATTTTTTTAAAAAAATTTGTTACTTTTATATTGTTTTAGAACTTAAAAAACATATTATTTGAATTTTTAGTTTTTTTAGAGTTATTCTTATCTTTCTTTAATTATAGAGATCTAACAGGTAGACTATTTACTCAATTGCCAATCATCTAAAAAAATGCTCAAATGTTATTTGACCTCTCTAATAATTTTGCATGTTAGTTCAACCCTGAATGACTTGTTGACATTGTAGACATAGGGGATATATATATATATAGTAATGATCATATGAGACCCTCCCACACCTATGTGTGTAGGACTCCAAATGATTACCATTAAGTCCCCACACCCATATGATAACTTTTCTAGAGATGTGTACCAAATTTAATGGTGATCCTTTGGGGTCCTACACATGGGTGTGAGAGGTTCCCATAGGATCATTACTCATAAGTTTATATAAGGTTGCGACCTTAAAATGTAGAATTACAGAAGCACCTTAAAAATCTATCGAAAAATGTTGTTTTAATGTTAAAAAACCCTCTAATTGATCATCACAATCACTACATGGAGTGAATATGAAAAAAAAAAAGTTTTTGAGTCCATGAAATAGTGCATCTTGCAACACATTATCTAGACCGTCCATTTTCAAGATTTCCATATGTTTGTAGATCTACTTGATTTTAACCATTTCTTGAGTTTAAACTTTTCTAATTAGATATAAAAATAGATTTTAAAAAAATCTTAAGATTTTTTTATAACAAAATTATATGTCAAGATAAAATTTGAAGATACGCTTTAATTGGATTGTTTAAGGTTGCAACCTTATAGAAATCACGTAAATTGTTTAATATTGCGACCTTATAAAAACTATATATATATATATATATATATATATATATATATATATATAATTCAATAGGGGGAGGGCGGAGAGAGATATCTTTATTTGAGACAAAGTGTAATGATGATGTCACTATATTCCTCCGAGAAACGCCAAGTTGAGGTTGACTTGCCGGCTACAAATTCGTTTATTGTGCGGAAGACCTTTCACAAACGGACCGGGCCCTTGTCCCCAACTGGCCCATGCCCTACCAGGCTTGAAAGCCTTGGCTTACGCCCGGCTTTAGTCCATGCTAAGTTGGGTTGGGCCAAATAAAATTAAGTAAAAATAAAAAAAAAGAGGGCCGGACTGGCTCTGTGGTGGACTCGGCCCGGCCTAGCCCTGCCTTCTGGCTGTGGTGGCTCAAGCATGGCACAGCCTTTGAGTCACATTTTATAGCCTAAGCCTTTGTTTTTTTATGACCCGTGCTGATGGAACACGTCCTATTCATAACCGTGACTCCTATGTTCTTTTTTTTTTCTTATTATTTTCACTAATGTATATTTTCTATAATTGTTGCGAAAATACAACTTTATAAAATGCCAAATGAGTTTATACTCATGTAGGCGTATACGCATACTGTCCATTTACTCCCTTTGATAGTAACCTCTTCAAGCGACATGCTAATCCCAATAAAAAAATTCCAATTGCAGTCTTTATGCACTTGAAAAAAACAATATCTTAAAGATTGAAGACAGACCCTCTAATATTTAGAGAGTGAGATCTCAGTTTTCATAAAATTTAAATTTAAAAATTTCAAAAATAAAATTTTAATCTAGTATTCTTAAGCGAGTCCCAAAATTTCAGACTGAAACAATCTTCACAAGTGAATATTCTAATCGAGGTAGTCGATGTACAATATACACCGACCGGGAGCATAGTACATGCGCTGAAAATTTACAAAAAGGGTGTTCTTCTCTTTTGTTACGTCTCAGACAGTGACTTTGCACAATTTTGATTCATGTGCTCTCTTTTTATTTACTCTTGCACACAAAAATCCACTCGGGCAAGGTACTCGGACCCCGGCCGGGAGCGGAGTAACTCTGAGGAGTTCAGGTCATAGGTCATGTTAAGAAAAAAGAACAATAAAAGTAAATAAAATTTTTATAAAAGGGAAAGTTTATATAGAGCCGAGGCTCTAAACAACCAAATTAGGGCCTATCTCAAAAATTTCACTAAAAGAGGTTGTTTTGATGCTCAAACATCTTCAAATTGATCATCTTGACATCAAGATACATAGCTATGAGAAAAAAATAGATTTCAACTTTTGGAAATAATGTATTTTGTAATGAGTTTTTGGACCGTCAATTTTCAATATTTTTAAGTTTTCATAGATATGTTGATCTACACTATTTTTAAATCGTTAAATTTTATAAATAAATATAAAAATATATTTAAAGCTATAACAAAGATTTTCAGTATTGAAAACACCTTGCACATTAGTACAGTATGTTGCCTTCTTTAATAAAATACAAAAGATGTCTATTTTCCTTGCGACACTGTATATGATGGCCGAAAGACCACTTAGAATCAGGTGAAGTAAAGTCGTGAATAATAAGATATATAGAAAATCGGAACACGGAACTCAGAGGAGTAACTCATCCGATTCCGAGTCACATCGGTCCAGTCTAAAAACTCTAATCAGAATTACTACCTGTTCTCGTCTTGAAAAAAAAAAATTGATTTACTCTATATTACTAGAATTGAAACATAATTAGAAGATGGGTTTTAATTAAGTATTTTGGCTATAGCAACAGTGAAGAAAAGTATGGAGATGGAGAAGTATGCAGAGAGAAGGGAGAAAATCAAGAGTGCAAATTGTAATGAATCTTTTGATTTTTGAAGCGGACCAGAGAGGGATTTGAAGGGAAGAGAGGCAAAGAGAGAACCAGAGAGGAGATCAGAGTGGAGAGGGAGAGCGATTCAATGGAAGGGTACGTAATTTTAAGAGCAAAAAGAACCAAAAAAAACACAAATTTAAAAAATGC